GAAAAGCTAGCTAAAGTTGATTTTCTCAAAGGTGTTTCCTTTAATCTTAGAAATAGTGTTTGTGATTCCTGTTCCAAAGCTAAACATACGAGATCTCCTTTTCCGTTAAGTGAAATTAAAACCAAAGCATGTTTTGAAATATTACATTGTGATGTATGGGGTAAATATCGAATTCCTTCGTTCTCTGGAGCAAATTATTTCTTGACCATTATGGATGATTTCAGTAGGAATGTTTGGATTTTTCTCGTTAAATATAAAAGTTATGCTAGTACCTGTTTGGTGAATTTTTGAAAAATGGTTGAAAACCGGTTTAATAAAAGCATCAAAAGAATAAGATGTGACAATGGTGGGGAATTCATGTCAAATCTCATGTTGAACTTTTACACCAAGCAAGTCATTTTGTTAGAAACCACGTGTCCTCACACGCCTCAACAAAATGGGGTTGTTGAGCGTAAGCACCGACATTTACTCGACACGGCTCGAGCTCTGCGTTTTGAAACCAATTTGCCAAAAAGGTTTTGGGGGGAATGGGTTCTTACCGCTGCATACATCATCAACCGATTACCCTCTAAAACTCTTGGTGATAAAACTCCATATGAATTTCTATACAACCAAAAACCCGAATATGATCACATGAGGGTCTTTGGTTGTCTAACTTATTTTTGGAGTATCGAAACAAAGGGTGACAAGTTCGAAGTAAGGGGGAGACCCGGAATTTTTCTAGGTTATCCTCAAGGGACAAAAGGCTACAAAATATTTGATATTGAAAGCAAGAAAATGGTGGTGTCACGAAATGTGAAGTTCCATGAAAGCACTTTTACCTTCCCAGCTCAAACTCAAGCTTCCAATGATTCTAATGTCTTTGTTCCCATACAAACTCAAGACGTTGAAGGTCAAAATCATGAGCAAAATCACGAGGTGGAAGATGATGGGCCTAACTTTAGCCCACCGAACTTGGATGGGCACATGGTGGAGAACGATGGAAGTAGGCCAGACACAATCCATGAAGAGATACCTCCTCAAAATCTCGAAACACACACTGATCTGGGAAATTCTCGACCAAAGAGGGACCGAACACAACCTAAACGCCTGAATGATTTCATAGTTGATCTTCCCCCTTCGGTTGACCATGCACATACCGCATCAACTCAAGCCACCTCAACGATACATCCCATTGCCAATTATCTTTCTTATAATAATTTTTCTAATACTCACAAGAATTTCTTGGCGGCCATCACCACCACTGATGAGCAGAAAACTTTTAAGCAAGCCATGCAAGACCCGAGATGGATTGAAGCCATGAAGAAGGAGATTCAAGCCCTTGAACAAAATAACACATGGACTATTGAGTCTTTGCCCGAAGGAAAATGAGCCATTGACTCTAAATGGGTCTACAAGATCAAATACAAGCCAAATGGAGATGTCGAAAGATATAAAGCAAGACTCGTCGCAAAGGGGTTCACCCAGATCGAAGGAGAAGATTTTCATGATACGTTTGCTCCAGTAGCTAAATTGGTAACTGTTCGAACATTATTATCCGTGGCTACTAAAAACAATTGGTTCATCCACCAGTTCGACGTCAATAACGCCTTCCTTCATGGTGATCTTGATGAAGAAGTGTATATGAAAATACCACAAGGATTTTTCACGGAGAAAGACGATCGTTTTTGCCGTCTGCGAAAATCTCTCTACGGTCTCAAACAGGCCTCTCGAAACTGGTATCAAAAGTTTACCACTGCCCTCCTCGGTCTCGGATTTTCTTCATTCAAGGCAGATCATTCGCTTTTTCTCTACAAACATGACAACACTTTCCTTTCCATTCCATTCTCATCTACGTCGATGACGTCATCATCGTTGGAAACGATTCCAAGAAGATACACGAAGTCAAACAATGTTTGCATGACAAGTTCAGCATCAAAGGTCTTGGGGAACTGAAATATTTCCTTGGAATAGAGGTGGCCCGAACTTCTCGTGGTCTCGTTTTAATCCAACGGAAGTACACTCTTGATATATTAGAAGACAGTGGCATGGGAGGATGTCGCCCGAGTTCATTCCCCATTGAACAAAATCTAAAGCTTGTTATGGATGATCAAGAACCCAAGGTTGATGCCAGTAGCTATCGACGCCTTATTGGTCGACTCATTTACCTCCAGGCCACTCATCCGGACATAGCCTACTCGGTTAACACTCTCAGTCAGTTTGTTTCAGACCCCCGTCAGAGTCATATGGATGTCGTGTCTAGAATTCCTCCATATCTCAAGGCCATTCCCGGTCAAGGCACACTTTTACCTAAAGAAGATGGCACGAATCTGGTTGCATATGCTGATTCAGATTGGCTTGGTTGCCTTCTCACTAGGCGTTCTCGAACTGGTTACCTTGTTCTTCTTGGTGGTGCTCCTATTTCGTGGAAAACGAAAAAGCAGTCCGTTGTCTCACGCTCATCTGCTGAAGCTGAATATCGTGCCATGGCTTTAACTGTTAGTGAACTCATCTGGTTACGATGGCTTTTACAAGAGCTAGTCGTTCCACAACTTGGCTCTACCACACTTTTCTGCGACAATCGAGCAACTCGGCATATCTCCAACAATCCGGTTTTTCACGAACGCACTAAACATGTTGAAATGGACTGTTATTTTGTTCGTGAACGTGTTGAATCCAAGGAAATTTGTCCCATGTCCATCGACTCAAAGCTTCAACTTGCTGACCTTCTCACAAAGGGGCTTGGAGCTCGCAACTTCGTTTCTTACTAGACAAGCTGGGCGTTGTCAATTTACACGCTCCAGCTTGAGGGGGAGTATTGGATTTCAATTCTTGGTCCATATCCTCTCCGTATTTAGCAATATCCTCTCCTTATTTATCTCCTTATTTAGTGGTTTCCTTTTTATGCTTTCTTGTTTATATATAGGGTTCGTTTCTTCTCTTGATGTAATTAGAACAACAATATCAATAAACAATCGATATCTTGAGTTTATAACGGATGAGTTCCAGATTTCTATAATCAGTGAGTTACTTGACGAATTAGGAGGTGAAAATTTGTTTTCGATGCTGCACCTGAATCAGAATGAGGGATGTTCATAAAACAAAATTTCGAACCCATGAAAGCCATTACGAGTTTGTGGTAATGCCTTTCAGATTAACCAATGTGCTGGCGACTTTTCAAGCATTAATGAACGAAATCTTAGTTATTACAAAAAGACTAGCATCTCTAATCTTTAAGCCTTTCTTGAGAATATTTATTTTGGTTTTCTTTGATGAGATTCTAGTCTACAGCAAAACAGAGGAGGAACACTATACGCATCTAAGGGAGACATTTTAGGTGTTGTTGCAATATCGTCTTTACGCTAACAAAGAAATGTGAACTTGGAAGAAAAGAATTGGGATATTTGGGTCACGTGATATCAGGAGCTAGAGTAGCTATGGATGGCACCAAAGTTGAGCCAATGGTGAATTGGCCTCTACCAAAGTATGTAACTCAGTTAAGGGGTTTTCTCGGGTTATGGGGATATTATCGAAAGCTCATAGCTCGTTATGGACAAATCGCACGGACTTCGACGGACTTGCTTAAAAAACATATTCGAATGGAGTGAAGAGGCAACGAGAGCATTTGAATCTCTCAAGGAAGCACTTACAGGAGCACCGGTGTTGGCCTTACTGATTTTGAAAAACCATTCGTCATCGAAACAGATGCTTCAGGGGTGGGTTAGGGGTTCTCCTAATGCAAGAAGAATAACCCATAGCAATTCGCAGTCAGATTTTTGGTTTTCAAGCTCGACAGAAGCCTATCTATTCGGTCAAATAGAAGCAGGAGTTGGAAGAGGGAACAGGGAATCACAAAGGGTTCGAGGTCAGGCAAGATTTTCTGTGGGACAAGGGTCATTTGATGTAACCGCGGACCTCATCTCTCATAAATACAATTTTGGAGGAACTCCATTACTCATAGATGGGGGGACATTCTGGAGTGAAAAGGACTTTTCAAAGAATTAAGGCTGAATTATTTTGGAGTAGCATGAAAGCAAACATTAAAGAGTTGTGAGGGGTTGTTAAGTATGTGAATGCAAACAAAGCATCACTAGGTTTACCTATGCAAATATGGGATGAAGTAACGATGGACTTTCTGGAGGGGCTGCCAAGCCAGAAGGAATGGATACCATCATGGTCGTCGTTAAAAGATGTTATTGGAAAGAGACGCAATGTTAGATGATATTCGATTGGAGTTGATGAGAGCCCAAAAGAGGATACATCAAGCGGACAAACATAGAGTGAAGGTTCAATTTCACATGGGCGAAATGGTGTTTTTAGTGTCAAGACCATACAGACAAAAATCAATGCGTGAAGCTCTCAGCATGCATGATATTACGGTCCTTTTGAAGTGTTGGAGAAATTTGGGAAGGTAGCTTATAAACTTAAGTTGCCTAGTTTAGCTCGGTATTCCATGGGTTGCAGCTACGAAGAGCCATTATTCCCAAATATTCCACCACAGTTAAATCAAATGAAGGAGTTTTAGAGACGGTGTCAAACGAACTGCTACAGTGCAGAACTAATGAGGTAAGAGAGCTGGAAGTATTACTCAGCTGGAGGGATTTGCCATTGTTTAAGGCTACATGGGAGAACTTTGCTGTGATCAATCAACGGCTTCCAGACTTTCAGAGGACAAGGTGAATCTTTGGCAGGTGGGTAATGTTAGACCTGAGGTACGATTCAAGAAAGAATAGAGGACAGGGGTATTTCAGTCTTTTCATAAGAGGGAAATAGCTGAGTCTGTTATGAAGGAAGTCTATATAAGTTGGGGAGGCAAATCAAGTTTTCATCATGAATTTTCATTTCTTGTTGAACAAATCTCAACAATGTAGCAGATAAATCAGTAATTGCCATTGAATCCTCATAATACATTTATGCCATGAGATTCTAAAGAAGAAATATAATATAAAATAAACGTTGACAAACATTACAAATCTGTATCAATTTGTTCATAAAATGTTGACAGGTTAATTTCCAACAAAATCACTATTGGCACTCACTCATACAAATTAGCAGCAATACAACTACAACACTTATATATATGTTTCAAAAAATATTCAACCTACAAAACACATCCACACACTCTACTTTCTTCTGCAAACCATCAAATCTTCACTGGAAAGATGCCACCATTGCAGCTACAAACTTACCTATTCAAGATCAGCACCATCTACAACCAGGGATCTCATCTCCTCTCCAACACACACCTTATAATATATCACACTGCAACATCCACATACACCAGAAAAATGTCAAAACTAACTAGAAATTTGTCAAAATTAACTGCTTTTAGTCATAACAACAACATTTACCTGCATTTATTTCAATGTTCTTCGCTATAATACTGTATGATGGAGATGAAGGTGGGGAATATACAGACAGCAACCAACAATATATATATATATATATATATATAGATTATATATATATAAGCAAGCTTAATGTCTATGATACATGACGTCTGATACACGAGGTTTTCCTCTCATGATCGTTTCATCACTGTGTTTGATTAGCTCTGACAGTCTCCATGGTTTTTGCCACTTCCATTTGAATTGCAATAACCATTGATGATGACTCCTTTTCCACCTCCAAAGTTTCCCAGAAGAATGCCCAACCATCGCCAGCTTCTTCAGAGACAACTGACTTATGGGAACCATCTGCACTCCAATCATTCTTATATATTCAGCTAAATTCAGTAGGGAAGCAGAGAGTAATTAATTAAGACGCAAACCTTTCGTTTCTGGTCTATGAATGCTGCTGATTCCCTAACCGAACCATTCGCTATGCCTGCCGTGTATTTCAGCTGTTTGGGTACGGGCACAGAATTTGGAGATAAAGGACCACTCATGTCCTCAGCCAAGTGCTTCAGTGAATTGTGGGAGTTACCCTGTTTTATTTTAATGAAGGGTTAAGAATAGAAAATATTTTCTCTTTAGGATGAATGAAAAACAGAAAGATCAGAGAAATAAACAACAAACTGTGCATCGTCTTACTGAAGCAGATGAAGCCAACGCAATTGCCACGGTTTGCTCCCTTACTTTTAGCTCCTTCTCGGTTTCTTTTCTTCTTAGTTCACTCTGTCGTAGTAAACCCACAAGCTCTTGCAACTGTTCTTCCATTTCTTTCATTTCAAGATCCTTTTCCCATGATTGGCACCTATTCGAAAGCATAAAGATTAGTAACTATTTCCTATTGTTGTCATTACTAAATATTGATTTTCGTTTACAAGATTCCCTATTAATCATGACTGAAGGGTATTTTGAAGATTTGATTGAAATGAAGTAACAAAAGATACAAGTAATGAAAAGATGGGATCAGGAACACTTGCCTAGCATCTGCAAGAGAATTAAACATATACTGAAGCAGGTTCTTGGCATCAGCCATTGAGCGCAGCTGATTCCAACGTCCACGACTAGCAAAGGCACGTTCCCTTTCTTCTGCCTCAGAGAGTTGTGAAGCCATGAACACAAGTGAGTTGGATGAAATGCTTAACATGCTTTCCAGTGAAGATATTCTTGACATTCTAGCATCAGGTGATAAAGATGAGGCCCTGAAACCGCCCAAAATTAGTTGCTCCACTCGCAAGTGCTTAGTTTCTGTGAAACTATTGTGTTAGAAAAGGATAAACAAACTACATCTGTACCTAGAGAAACCATTCTTTCCTCTTGGAGGGCTAACTCCTTTTGAAGCAAATTCATCAACTTGTCTAAGAACAGCTAGCTCTTCGGCCAATGCAGCACGCCTAAGAAATAACCGAAATTTCACTGAGAACCAAAGTAAAAACACCCTTTCCAAATTTTATATCATAGGATACATACACTTGACTTTGTTTCTCATATTCATGTCTAACTTCATGAACGTTCACCATCACTTCCAGCTCATGATCAAGCCAACGCTGCAATGACTTCTCATTGCTCTGAAAACATAAACTGGTTTAGTACAAGTACATCCAACTCCAAGACCTTGCAATACCGAAATTAGTCTTGATATTTACCTGCACATTTGCTCCATTTCCGTTGCTAGTTACTGCAAGATAACCATACTTTAGTTATTTACAAGGTCATGAAAGATGTTTGTAAATGAGCATCATAAGGCCAATCCAAACCAAATCAAACGAACACATTATATCCGGCTCAAAAACAGGGCCTGGGAGGGGTGGGATGCATGCAGTCCTGACCTCTAGCCCCAAAGGGTAGAGCGACTATTTCCATGAAGACTGAGCATCATAATCCCATCCACAGAAAATGACAGGTCTTGATAAGGATTCAGTTGCTTCATAGCACAGAAGTCAAACACACCTGAGTTATCACGGGTTGACTTGCGGGCCTCTAGCAATTCTTTGAGCCTCTTGGTCGCCATTGCAGCCTCTTCTGTTTTCCTTTGAAGAACCTAAAAGGTGATCGCAGTGGAGAGTGATTAGCTTCCCGAGCACAGAAAAGAATGCACCCAATATCAGCAAGAAAAAGGCTGTAACTTCATAGATTTTAATTTTAAAAATTGAAAATATAGCTAATTGTGTAGCCGACTTGGGTATGCTCAAAGTAACAAATGGCTGGAATGTCTTCTCCTGAAGATTAATTTAGTGACGACAATAGGACTCTCAATAATCTGCTTTACCGATCAAGCATGTCCAACAAAAGTCACTAGACAATGGACTACATTTTTATAACTATGTAAGCCTCCCTTTTTTCAAAGGAGTAAAGTAGAAAATATGACCATTTTAATGAGGGTACATATTAGTAAATAGATATAAAATCTACCAAAAGAATCTAACCATTTTCTGGCGTTGATTTAGTGCTTGCAGTTTGTGCCTCTCATATTCATTCCTCCGCCCTTCCTTCTTTAGCTGCAATAATATAAAGAAATGGACAAACAGTTGTCATATATCCATGGACTTTTGCAGTACAATAACATAGAGCTTAGAAGAGCAATAGAGTTCAACCCAGGGACTGCCTAGTGGTCAACTAGACTTCACCAGGATGGACCAACTCAGAAAACCATCAAACTACCATTAAGAGAAAGGAAAGAGCGTGAGGAAGTTCGCATTTTGCAATGTTAGTATTTATCCATAAAGAAGCCTAACATGTGGAAGTGTTTTATGATTAATAATCTATCGGGATAAATAATTTAACACAGAGTGGAGTGATTAGTAGGTTTGGAAAGAAAGCAAACATGACGACCATAAACACATACCTGCAGCAATTCTTTTTCACGAGATGCTTTCCACTGTCGGAATTGTTCAGCTTCTTGCTTTATCTTATGTTGTAGTTGAACCTATAGACATATAAATTAGAAGCAAGTTTTACTTGCATAAGCAGATAAGCATACAAAAGACTTAAAAAATAACAACCTTTTGTGCCTTGATGAATTGAATCTCATCTTGCAACTTTTTTGCTGCCTCATCGCTCTTTTGTTTTTGCTTCAGAATCTGAACTTGACTGTCTTTTTTCTTCTTGAGATCCTGAATCTGAGGTGAATAGGAGTGTGAAAACCCGTACAATTAGAACAAGATTATTGACTTGGTGCTTCCAACTCCAAATGAGCATGGCGTAAATGTGAACTCGTATCTACCTGTGACTCGAGCGATTTTAACTTGTGTGAGTGCAAATCTTGCAATTTTTGTGTTTGCCCATCTGAAGTAGCTGAAAGATTTTCGATTTCAGTCTGCAATCGGTCTCTCTCTTTCTGCATTGATAAGCAAAGTAGCAAGTAAAAATTAACATTAAACGGCATCAGAAAATTGTGAAAGATGAACAAAAATGCTTGTGTATATTTACCTGTACTGCCCGTTTTTCATCCTCTAGTTCCATTATTTTCTTCCCAAAATGTTGCTTAAGAGTCATCGTATCAAAACCACCAAAAAGTTTCATCTCCGACTGCATAAGCAATGTGTACATATAAATAATTCTTCTCATAACTTAACTAATGGTATAAACACATTCTCTACATTATGAAAAAAAAAATACAAACTCGATCTGCTACATATTTATAAACACAAATTGGAATACAAGAAATAATTAACACACCTCCTTCTGCTCTAAACGTTTATTCAACTCATGTAGTTCTTTGTCCATGGAGTCTTGTAGAAGGGTATGCTCCCACTCTTTTGCAGCTTCCTCGTCTATAACGGCAGAATCACCTACAGATATCAGCAACTAGTCAACAAAGAGAAAGGGACAACGAATTTTCAAGTTACTACAATGTCATTGGGGATTGAAATAAGCTTAAATTTGGACCAGGAGATTATCGTGTCATACCACTTTCACTCATCTGATAATCAGATGAATCGACACCCTGCAACCCTCTTTTAAGCCCTTCATTTTCCACACAAAAGGAATCATGATCAACCTGCAACATGTAGTTATTGATTACATTTGCATCAATTCACATAAAACACAGTTGTTGGAACATACCGATTTGTATTTATGAGAACTGTGAAAAATAAATTGTTTACTGCAATACCTTAGTATTCATCTCAGAATGATCAATGGCAATGCCTCGGCTGCGGTAAATATGAAGTTCCCTACAAAGATCCTGGTTAGTAGCTTCAAGCCAAGCAATCCTTTCCCGTAATACCTGAATCAAGTTGATGAAAAACACCATATCGTAATGATCAAATGACAAGATTTCTTCTTTTATTTTCAATCTAGTAGAGGAAAGGAACACGTTGACATACCTGTAATTCAACCGAAGAACCTCCACCACGAGCACAAAGTTCTGCCTGCAAGCACTCTAATTGTTGACGCATTTTTAACATTTCACTGGACATTGGATCCCTATTCACCTGTTAGATGGTTAAAACAGGAGTGTCATGAGACAGCACCTTCAAAAAGAAAGCTTCCCACCTAAAAGCTATTTACAGAAAATGTAAAAAAAAATTGAACTGTTCTTCTGCACTTACCACAGGCTTATTCTGGATATTCCGAGCACGATTAGCATACTTTAATGTGTTGAGAGTTTCCTCGGCATTTATATCAGCAGGACTCACGCAAGCTGTGAATGTGTAAAATATATAAGCTTGTGTAATAGTAAAAATGTAGGCTGAAATTTAATGCAAGGAAGCAAACACTTTATAATTACACGTTCTGAAAATATGAAGATGATATATAAGACATATTGTAAATCCAATTCTTGTGCACAACCAACAAAGGACACCAAAAGAATTGTATATTGATCCGCTAATCGCAGACACTTAATTATCAAAAATTGTTTTTAATCTTTTATGGTACACTCGTGACATTCTCTTGAATACACAGGAGGTTAAAAGGACCATAGTTACATTTTTATGTCATCCATATACACTCTTGGTGCAACCCCTATATGTTTTAGGGGTCAAGCTATATACTTCTAGGTAGATGGGAAGATTGGGCATCTATAGCTGGAACATGTTAGGTATTTTCCACATTAAAAAATGTACATACAGTTTGAGCTTTGCAGCACATCCATGCTACAAACGTATATATAACTACAAATGCATGTATGACCAGAAAATACGTCTAGGATATACAAGTTACCAATCATAACAGTTCTGCTGTTTCCACCAAGTGAATCCTGCCAATATAGATTAACTACAAATGAGTACTTTGAAAAAATCAAAATTTACTTCAAAGCAAAAAAAAGAAAATCAGACGATAAATTTCATGTTTGGCAGCTTGTTCGTGTATCCAACCTGTAAGAGGCGAGTAAGTTTACTATCTCGATACGGAACATGAGCACCTTCTTTCCGTTTCTTCTCATCGCCAAGGGCACTGATGACGTTTCCAAGTGCAAGAAGCCCCTTATTAATATGAACTCCTATTTTCAACATAAGAGATGATCATGTTGGTATTCTTAGCATCACCCTACAACTAATAATCAAGACAACTGATTACCTTCTTTGAACCGCATGCCATCAGAACCTGTTCTTTTAGCTCGTTCTGATCCAGCAAGGTCAACTAAATGCAACTTGGCACAGAGATATTCATCACCTATAGCATCATTTGAATTGGTATCACCAGGATTTGCTTTGCGTATTTGTTCAACAGTGATGGTGAAGATGGCATGTGAACGACTGCATAAAAAAAGGTGAGGAAATATAAGGAAATATGCAAACATGTTATGTGTGCATGAAAGATATTATGTAAATAGTTCTTTTAAAATGCAGTGTCGCAACTGAGACGAGTAGTTGGTGAATTCATCTGTCTTTTTCCAAAAAAAAAATCATTGATCTGTCATAACAAGGAAGTGCATTATTAAAGAAGAAATGTTTTTTATAAAAATATTTGGCAAAAGACATCTCTGAAATAAGCAAACAATTGATTAACAAGGTAGTTGTAAAAATTGATAAAAGAACTTGTTAGAAATATTCTTTTATTTTTGATACACTTAGCATGGGATAAAACTGATTGATCTAAAAATTGTCAATGATAGCAGCTCCCTCATAGTAATTTCACAGGGAACAAATCGAAAGGTGCAAGAAATCAAAATATGGTATTCAACCTTGACTGGTTATTCATGTTTGTACTCCCTGTTGCCCTGCTCATTGATCCATGCTCCAGGCAATCAGCCATTTCTTTTAGTGACTGAACGCTACATTCAGTAGATCCTGCAAGCGTTATGACACCATTTGAAGTTTCACGAATTTGTATTGGCGGCTTCCCTGGAATATTTACTTTTCCTGTCTGCCCATTTGTTGTGTCTGATTTGTTACTGGAGTTGGGATCCAGCAAGTCCCGTACTTCTTCTTTTAGAATCTTCACATGAGAGGAACCTTTGGTTAAAAATTTTGAACTAGGAAAAGTATTAACAATTTTACATTTGAAACCCTGGCAAATTCAACTTTGGGAAATTTTTATTAGAGGATCCAAATCTGGGTCGATACTAAGCTCAGACTAGAAGCATCAATAATTAATAAACAGCAGACTTTTGTACATCAACAGAAAGAACTTTTATCAATAGGAGGTCACTGATAAAGGTAAAATCCACCAAGATCAAAATGAGGGGAGGTAAAGGTGACAGTAGATAAGACTTCTTTAGGTTAGGTTTCTTTGGGATAGAAGGCACCTGATGTTGTTGAAACATGATCTTGTATCAAATTTGAATACAAGCACCTGACTTCATTTTCTAGGAAAATCTGACATAGGACATCTGTACCTAATAAAACTTAACTAATATTCTCTCTCCATAAGTTCCGCCATTTTCTTTGCAACGAATCTAGAAAGTGTGCAAGATGCATGGCTGTAACTGCTATCCAAGAAAGCATGGAAGAGCAATACAAGGTAACGAGAACATACCTCAATGAAAGAAACATGCAGCTGGAATTCTATTTGATGCTTTAAACTTTCAATCTTGTTGAATAAAGCACTCATGGCTTGAGGAATAAGACCCGTTTGGCAGCCATCCTTGAAGCCAGAACCCATGGTGTATGTCTTGCCAGAACCCGTCTGTGAAACTTCAAATGTCAAATACCATCATAAACAACAGAATATATTTTAATTTCTTGCTTGAATAAACAGAAAGACAGTTCCTGATGGTGAGAACTATACCTGGCCATAAGCTAGAACGGTAGCATTATACCCTTGAAACAAACCATCAACAAGAGGAGAAACACACTCTTCAAACATGGCAGATGGTGGGGTTCCAGTGCTTCCATAGACATGATCAAAGGTAAAAGAATGTGTACCCAGTTGCACCTGCAACATAATCAATGATTCAGCTACATCCCAAAGTAAAACAACACAATTTTATATCATAACTACTACTTTAGACTTTTGCATGTGCTGATTAACGAAATCAAAATATTCAAAAGGTACATTAGTCTCCATCGAACGACTTCTTTACGTTGATAGGAATTTGCCCACGGAACATTTATAGCAAATACACAATTGCATATGTTGGACAAAAATGAATGGACTTTAAACATTTAGACTAGACTTCATCATCTCTAGTTGTGGACTGATTCCCATAGTTCAACAGGAAATAAGTGGAAGTAAATTGGTAAAGAATGTAGATTTGGAATCAATGATCATAGAGTAAAATGGGTGTAATCAACCTAGTAATACAATAACAGTTCACAATTCACATTTCATAATACAGACTTGTACGCAAAATGAGTGGTATGATGTGAGGAATGATTGTGTTTGAATCATGAGTCGCTTCACATAGGCAAATAAAGGCACTACTTTTAACGAACATGCATATGTAAAAGAAACTAGAAGTTCTTTTGTTCGGCCTGATCGGTAGCAATACATCTCCATCCATTCCAATAAAAATACATAAAGCAAAAGAGAGAGGTAGTCTTCGAAATGGAGTGTCTTCAGCTACAAAACCAATATGGACCTTGAGCATTTAGAGATTTGTCTTCTGTTTTGAACTTTATAACTAGTTCTAAAAATGGAAAAATGGTATGAAGAACAGCCAGAACTATGAATCAAAGAATTTTCAACCCCAAACAACCAAAATGAAATGAGCTACGAAAAGAGACTTTTTTAAGGTCCTATACACCAAGGGGAACTCTATTAGGTTTTCAGAACAGATCCCTTGGACTCTCGAAAGCTATCCCAGACTTAATTATCTTGCTTTGCTGAATGATTCCGATAGTTTACCAGACAAGAGCTGGTAAATTGGTAAACAATAGAGAATACAAGTAAATGTATTTTACTTTACAAGTAAAGATATTCTCTATCAGTAACAAAATACAGGTTTTACATGAGAATCAGAACCTACTAACACAATAACAGTTGATGATTTGCATTTCATCTCTCCACAGATGAGTGGTACCAATGGAGGAACTCATGTAGTTGACTAAAGAGTCGCCTAATACATATTAAACACATTAAAATCAAACCCTTTGTGTTAGAAGCCACAAAAGCTAATGCTTTACTTATAAACCTTTACCAAACCTGGTATTTTATATTGTGAAGAAATAGGTGATGATTGTTCATTTGCAATAAATCTCAATTAAGCATGTGATTTCACGATTAATGACGACACTTGCAGAAAACACCATCACAACTAAAAGTTGAATTAATCCTCAGATCATGACTGTTTTTCCCCGAACAACTTGAAACCAAGAGAAATTTGATTTTCAATTGGTAGTAGTACAAATTACAGTAAGTGTGGCACTTGACATTGAGATCTACTGGATCTCTCATAACTGAGATTCAATCATCTCTTATACAAATTAATGCCGCTAAAAAGTAGACCAATAAATTAGGTAATCAACAATCAGCGAAAGAAGAAATTGGTGGAAAGAGACAAGAAGAGCAATTGGGGGATGAGTGAAACCTGTGGTTTCCCAGGAATGATGGCGACACAATCTTTACAAGCTTGAAGCTTTTCATCTCCAATAAGCGGACGTATGTGTACGGCTACTTTGACACAACAATCCTCCATGGTGGTGGTGGTGGTGGTGGTGGGTGGCGCTGCATCCATCACATTAAAGCAGCAGCAAGAGTAGATTTCTGAAAACAGCTACAGAGAGGATGAGGATTCAGCTGGTGTATGAGAGAGAGAGAGAGAGAGATGGTTCTTATTAGAGAAGAAATGTAAAGCGGAGAGAGAGAGGGAGAGAGAGAAATGGAGGGGTGTTGGAAGAAGGATGAGTGGTAATGTAGAGTGCAGCGAAAGGGTGGATGGAGGAGGTGGGGGAGAGGAGAGAGAGTAAACTGTAACGACAGCACCAACAACCTGTAAGTAAACTCTCGACTTACATTTCTCTTCCTCTTTTCTCTTTTCTCTTTTTTCTTTTTTCTTTTTTCTTTTCTTTATTATTATTCTTGCGGTGGTCTACATCCTATCTAAATTAAATATCAATACTCTAATTTATACTATTTTATAAGATATTTGATAAAAAAAAATCTTAAAAATTATTTTTTATATATAAA